TATATATTATATATATATTATATATATATATAAAAATAAAAATAAAAAGAACTTGCTGTCACATGTGAGCTGTGGTTGAATAGTGGGAGCATCTGTCTTCACAGGGTTTCTGTCGGTGTACGTTCTCACCTCTGAAAGCTGGGACGCCGTGGGTCACGCATCAGTGTGGAACGAGAGGAGCCGGCCCGGAGCCGGGATAACAAGCGAGGAGTCGGCGTGTGTTTTCTACAGACACAAGAACAACCCGTCTGTGAGTGACACACTGAGCAAAGCAGTTTGCCATTTGATCCATTACACAGAAAGCACCCGAGGAGCATTGTAACTCAATGATGATCGTTCAATTTAATGAGTTTGCTGCTGAACTTCTATTCAATATTTGTTTATGTTCTTGCCCATCAAGAGCACATTATGATGCTGTTCCCAAAAACAGCATCACTTCTGGTATTTGGTTTACCAGGACCTGAGGGTGGACATGTTAGCTGATAGCACTAAGATTCAAATTCTATAAACTATCACATAAAACCCAAACGACCAACTATTTTGTTTGATTATTGTAATAGAGCTTTTTATTTCCTTATGTATCGTGTTTTTTTTATTAAGCTGACTAAGCTTACTCAAAATATGAGGTAATTAAAAAGGGCAAATATATTTTTAATTTAGGCAACCAAAAGCTGATTTTAAAAGTTAGTGTTGGGCTTTGGAAATGCAGATGTTATTAATTTATTTAATATAAATTAAATAAAGTTTTCTAAAAAAAAAAAAAAAAAGAAATGCAGATACATCCAACAAAAATAAAAACAAGTAATAGAAACAATGATAGTCTGTTGAAGGTGTTTGTATAACTGCAATAATAAGGTTAGAAAATGTGGGCTAAACCTTTGCGGCATGTTGATAAATATCAGCCGATTAATCAGCGATCTGCTTTGTCCTGCTCCAAACTATCGTTATTATATATCGACCTTTAAAAATCCACTATTGGTCGACCTCCATTCTCTCTCAGCCTGGTGGTGTTTGCACGTGATTTTAATCGAGATAAACGGCCGCGTGCGACGCATCAGATTTATCACTCACCGGCTGCAGGAATTTAATGAGCTGAAGGAGAAGTCTTTCATACAGCATAAAACAGCTGTGCATGGCAACAACCACCCATCAATTTATAGATCGCTGAGTAATAAAGCTCCGGTTATTACAACCTTAATAGTTAATGATGATTTAAGTGCGTCTTTAGGTTGGAAAGGGTGTTTTTGTCAGTATCTTTCTGGTATTTTGCTTATATTGAGAATGGACAGCAGAGAGGAGACTTAGCTGGAAACAAAGGGAGAATGTTGGCGTTGGAGAGCGTTTGGTGTAGAGCTGCAGTGATGAGACAAGTTGATTAATAGATAGAAATTATAGAAAGTTAATCAGCAATTATTTTGAAAATCGCTTTATCGTTTTAAGTCGAGCAAAACCTGATGATTCCAGGATCTCAAATGTAAAGATTTGCTGCTTTTCTTTGTCTTGCATCATAGTTAATTTAATATTTTGGGATTTTAGACGTCACCTCGTGCTCTAGGATAAGATGATCAGCATTCTTCCTGTTTCCAGTTGAGCTTTCAGTTTTAGTTCCGTTACGGAAAAAGATCTGTTTTGTTTTCATTTGCTTTGTCATCCATCAGTATAATCGGCCCTTTCTGTTTTTAAGTTACACTTGTTTGTTTCAATGTTGCATCACATGCCTCTTGCATTCCTTTCCCTGAAGGTTTTGATTTGCCAGACGACTTGCTACATTGCAGAAGACCAGCTGTTCCAGTGGACGGAAAAAGTAAGCACTGTGATTAAATGAGGTTGTTATGCAGAGAAAGGTTAGGGCAGCTGTCCCTCTTCAGCCTGACAAACAAAGTCAAACATGCAGGTATTTTTCATGATCCACACCAGTGGTTCTCAACCTTTTTTGTGCCAAGAACCCTTAAATAGCTGTCTCTCTCTCTCTCCTCTCTTCTCTCGCTCTCTCTCAGGTTTTTGACGTCCTGCAGCACAGACGGCTGAATGTGACTGTGCTGTCAGACAGCTCTTTGGCTGAGTACAAGACATCAGACTATCTGTGCGGTAGCTCCACTCCCTTCCTGCGCTCTCTCCACACCGCTGCTTTCAGTGGTCAGCCTGTCTGCCAGTCACTGGAGCAACCCAACATAATCACTGGACTTCCAGCTGCAGGTACTGCTATTATTTTACACTTAGAATTTCTCTAATTGTTGTGTTTCAAACTTGCATTACTTTGGGTCTACAGGTCAGGTTTTTCCTCTTGTCCTCGCTTACATTTGCAAACACACGTAACTAGAGACACTTCTGATCTGCACAACTTTGCTCGCCTTCTTTAACGTCTTGAGTAGAAGTCCACCAATAATATATAATAACGATATTTTTGAGCGGGAAAAAGCCGATAGCCAAGTAATTGTTCAATATCTATCAAGAGCTGCATTACGTTTTCAAGAGAGAACTGTTGTGGGGAGAAATGAACTGAAAACGGGAGATATAACTTGTCAGCTTGCTGTAATATCAGCTGTTCCCGGGACCGCCAAGTTCTAAAATGACTTAAATAATAAATATCTAAAATGAAGATTACTGTCTGTTGTGCATTTTTGGCTCTCATCTCTGCGCTTCAGGTCGACCTTTCATTAAGACTATTCTTGGTCATTTTGCCTTTATTATAGACAAAGATGTGGACTTAATCTTACTTTACTAGACTGAAAATGTGTTAATGTTGATAAGTTGTGCCGTTAGGAGCCACTTTCTAAATGTTAAACGTTGTTACCAGAAAAAATACAATATAAAAAAATAGTGATATTACTGGAGCTCGTTATTTCTGAGCATGATTGCCTCCTTTCCAACTTGACTACTCTCAGACTCCATTAGAGACCTTAAGAGCTGTGACTCATCCTTATATAAGATTATATGAAACAAGTTAAAGAAGCTCTGTAGTCGTGTTCTTTTCAGTTACGCACATCGATCACATGTGATCAAGGCTCTCTATGAATTAATGAACCAAGCACTGTAATGTCACAGTAGTGATGTTACCTGGGTGTAAATGAAAGGGTTTAGACCATGATATAGGGGGAGCTCCCATTAATCCCTTGTGTGAACTATAAATCCAGCTTCAGCTGAGTTTGAGTCTTTACTTTTCTCAAATGTCCTTGAGCAAGAAACTGAATCACAAATTTCTCCTGATGTGTGTATGTGGAGCAAAACCAGTACGTTGCTTTGGACCGAGCATCTGCCAACAGAATGAAATGTAGCGCCATTAGTGCGGCTCTCATCGTCTCTAATGCTGATTTGGTCATTTTGGTGCTGGTGCACTTAAACACCCTGAAAGTCCAAACAAAGAGACACATCGTCAGGATAAAGAACTTGAGCCTGGAACACAAATATTCAAGTGTTGAGGTATTCTGATGGTTTAATTCTTCTTCTTCTGTGGTGTTTCTTCAGTGCTGAACCACTGCGAGGTCCACCACGTTGCCACCGTTGTTTACCAGTGTTACAGTGACGTCACCGGCCCTGACTCCGTCACGATGGAGACCTTCAAGCCCGCACTAACCAAGCTCAGCAAGTCTGTTCAGGTGAGCTGCTTTTCCATTTACATCTGAGGGGGAGGGGCGTTTAAAAGGTTCGAGGATGACTAAACCGCCTCTGCAGTGTTTCCCTGTCCTCCTCATTTTTAACATTGTGATCTCCCACTTCTCTTTCTCTGTCTCTCCTCAGTTGAACCCGTCTCCGAGCACAGACGTCCTCCGCAAGTTTGTCAGAACCACCAACATCCAGAGCAATCTTTATACCTGAAAATAGCCATGTGGCACTCTGTGCAGTGCAGTTTAATTCTATTTTCCTGTGGTAAAATACTGTCATTTTTAAAATAAAGAAATAAAGTGAAGAAAGCCTCTGTGTAAATGTCAGTAGTTTAATGATTTACCTAATTGATTTTGTTATCCTGCCGTCAATAAGGAGTCTCATTAGTTTCCAAAAAAGGAGAATTATAATCTTGATTTGGTCACTTTTGTGTTCTGATTGATAATAACATAATTTATGACAAATCTGCAAATGAATCAAATGCATTCTCAAAGGGAGCTACAGGTTACCTCTCCCCTCTTTTCACTACACAGATGTTTACTCCCCAGAATAACAGGTTATCAAGGTGTCAGGTGATTTGATGAACACGGTCAGTTCAGCACGGCATCAGAAATTTAATTAATTTGTAATGACTTTAAATCCACATTGCGTCGTGTGTTTATATCCCACCAAAAGTAAAGGATGGGTAATTTAAATGTTTCCACAGCCTTTAATTATTAAGTGCTCCATATGCAGAATATCCTGTTTTTAAATAATGTGTATTATATTGAATTGTTATGTCTGCATTAATGTTACATTAATCACTTTAATGTTGGTTACGGTGGAACTTATTCTTTACAGGCGTACATTATATATATGTAGTTTTCTTTTTCCCCGGATGGGGGCAATAATGAGCCAGTGAGCTCTTTTTCAAACACCGGAAATTCAAAGAAGATGAAGTGAGCGAAACTCAAAACAAATCAGTTGGCACTTAGTTACTGTCAACAAACGAACTTTATGTGGATTTATTTTGTCTTTATGTGCGTTGTACTGTCGACAAACCTGCTGTCTCATCACGTCAACGTATAACTAACAGTTCCGCCAACTGGAAACCAAGAAGACATCCAGAGTGGTGAGTTAGCATCAAGCTAACGTTACCGATGAGTGCCAGCCGGTTTATAACCGCTGCCAGCTGCAGGTGCAAAGCCTCAGCGAGCCGGAGTAAGGAGCACCCAGCTCCGACAGGGGCCAGCAGGGTGCTGGCCGGGAGGAACCCGGCGGTGGTGGCGGTGGGAGCCTGGGTGGAGGGCGGACACGACTTGGTGGAGCACCCGTCGGTGAGCATGGTAGTTAACCAGTGGTGGAAGAAGTATTTTGATATTTTCTTGAGTAAAAATAGCAATACTACAGTGTAAAAATACGTGGTTACAGGTAAAAGTATTGCAATCATTGTCGTACTTAAGTAAAAGTGCTAAAGTATCAGAATCAAAATATACTTAATAAGCGCCGATTATGCAGAATGGCCCATTCAGAATTATAGAGCAGCTTTACTATATCACTGGTTTGTAAGTAATGAGGCAATAATGGTCTAATTTGTAACGGTAAGGGTCATTTTAATTACTTTAAACAATATACTAAAAGTACAATATTTGCCTTCAAATCGAGTGAAGTAGAAGTTTAAAGTAGTCTGAAATGGAAATGCTCAAGTAGAGTACAATTACCTCATATTTAAGTACTTGAGTAAATGTGCTTCTAGGATCTTGATACGGATTCCTTATTGTTTACTTATTAATTGTTGATTGTGACCAAGATACACACTAAGTGATGCATTTGACAGTGCAAACATAAAGCCAGTTTGGTATTTCTGTGCTGCAATTTCTTATTATCGGCCAAACTGACGATAATCCCCAAAAAATATTAACAGATCATTTTATTTGGTCCCAAAACTGTCAAAAATATTCATAAATGTCCATCACAATCTCCAAAAGCCTAATTTCACATCTTGCTTACTTTGTCTGACTAACATTCCAGACCCCAATACGTTTGATATTATTACTTGAGAAGCTGAAACCAGGCACTTTTTTTTTTTCAAAATTATTAGTTAAACAATTCATCAATAATCAAAGTTGTTGCTGATTAATTTAGTCAGTCGTCTAACTGATGATAATCGACTGATGTTGCAGCTGTAATGTGATGGGCTAATACAGCGAAGTCACATGAATTTAGAGTCTGAATTTTTCCTGAAGTCTTCCCATATCTTGGTTCAGGCTCTGGCTTTGCTAACAGATGAGATCCAGGCAAAAAAGAGGAGGGAGACTGAAGAGGGTCTTCAGCGATTTCAAGTTCAAGTACGCCATCGTGTGGCACAGCAAGCTCAAGTCAGCAAGAAGAGACAGCAGCCGCAGACAGACTCAAAGGTAAAGATAACATTTTTTTTGGCACTCCGTGGTGACGATGAAGCACGGCTGAGCCCCCTGTATTGCCCGTACTGCTCTTGTTCCAGCTTGATTGACCTTATTGTGTGTTTGTGTCCAGGTGAAACCTGACAGAAGAATCCTACAACAGCAGCATCAGGTCTGGACCCAGCACGCATCTGCTGGTGAGAGGCCGGTGTCTGCGGGAGGTGCTGCACAGCGGAGGGTGACGGAGAGGAGCTCTCACCAGGTAAGACGGTTTTGTTGTTTAACCATCACACACACGGCTGGATATTTGGCCAATGATCAGCGAGAAGTGGCCGGTCAGGAACAGTGTCTCCAGTTCATAGTTTGTCCACCAGAGAGCACTGGGGAATACTTTCACTGTGAAATGTCCCACTCAGCACAAATGTTGGCCACAGTTATTCAACTACCACATTTTAGATATCCTCATTTAAACTTTTAATTGTTTTGTGTTGGGGTGTTAAAATTATTATTGGCTGATTTATTGCTATCAGATCTTTTAATAACATATATAATATACATACACATATACATACATACATA